CCTGTATATTATATATAGTTTACTATATCTACTATGTTTGTGTAGAATCAGTGGAACAAATTTCGAATGTGCCTTGGCGTCTCGCACGGATAAACTCGACTTGCTCACAAGTAAACAAATTTAATTGGTTATCAAAACTCTGGACGAAAATAACTAAATAGCTGACCGTGAAAAAGAAACCACTTCGACAACGTGTGACACATAATAATAATAATATTATACACTGTCGACTGTCGAGTGGTGCTGGTAGCAGACACCACGTGAAAGAGCGTATCATTGGCCGTGTATGATAAACGAACTCGGTATTTTATACGACTCCCTGAACCCGAACAATCGCCCTTTTATTTATTATTATTATTATTATTATTATTATTATTTTTGTTCTTTAGCTGCGGAAGTGACTAAGGCTAAGGAGAATTACTTACGCTTGTTCTGGTTCGGATCACTTCCCATGGACAAAGAACGATGCAACAATTATTACGATAATTATACACCTCTTCATTAATATAATAATAATAATAATAATAATAACAACAATAATAATAACGGATTTGAGCAAAACACTAAGACCGGGCGACTATTATACCTATGTTGCTATTCTCCCATGAACTGTACATAGGTACCTACATATATGAATGTTTTAAAGCACACACGAAGAAAAGATGTTGAAGTTGGAAAAACCAAAACGCTATTGTGGCATTTTCTATTGTCTGCAACCTGCAGCCGGCGGAAATATTTATGTCGTAAAGTGATGTCGCCAATTTGATACGAATTTGATTCATAAACTCATATTATGTAAGTACTAAATAGTAATAGAAAAACATATATAAAGTTTGTAGGTAAGGTACTATAATAATATTAAAGTATACCAGCTGACTTGCGGGAAGACGTTGTATTGCTCTTAAAGTCTTCAATGTGTGAACCAATACCAACGGGAACCCGGAACATCAACCGAACTTAATATTGTTTCGATAACATATTTGGGGTCTCCGGGATTACCGATAATAATAAGCGTAGAAGCATTTAAAAAATATTTACCTATACCTACAATATAATATAATATTACAATTTTATTAAATAAATGATCTATGTATAATATATAGATACAGGTAAGTGGGTAGTTTTAAGAATTCATTTTTAAGGTACTCTATAAAAAAACAATTCAGTACATTAGTTTATCGTTTTAACAATGACAAGAATGGTGACCATATTATGTAAGTACCTAAAACATTCTTTGTTTGGTATCACATTTAAATGATTTAATTGATTTTTTTTGCAATATACTTTTTTGAATTCAAATTGGGTTTGCGGATATTTTTAAATAATATTTTTCTGATTTTTTAACAGATTACTGGTAGGTAATAAAAAAGTTAAAATTAAATTTTTTAATAATTTAAGTTAAAAATATAATTGGATTGTTGTACCCCTAAGATGTTTAGTGGATGAGTATATGATTTTATGAATCAATATTATGTTTAGTAATAACTGTATAATACAAAATTTGGTTTTTGATGATACAATAGTTTATCCTAATTATTATATACCATTAAAATTACCCTGTTTTAGTAATAATCCTACAAAAAATGAATGAATAAACAAATAAACAAACAGTTGAAAATATATTGTCATTGCTTTCGACCTAAAAGTAAGTGATAAATAATAACATTAAGGCATTATACGGATTACGTTTAATAATAATATGTAAACAGTAAGGTTAGGTTAGTACATTACAGGTCATCATTGTGTTATGCTCGTTCATTCGTATAGCTATAAATAATGATGCTATTATATATTTTTTTTATTATTTGAACTTTGTTTGACAGTTCAAATATTTGATTAAAAAAATAATAATGTTTTGTTTAAGGCGAGCAATACGAAATATTATTATTATCGTATTGGATCGTTTAGCATTTCGTATCGCATCTAAAGAAAATATTTTTAATCTTGTATTCGTGCCATGCTGCGTTTTTATATAATATAGTATTATGATATTATGTACCGACACTTTATACGTCTAAATACGTAATTACCTTTAGCTGCTTCTAATCTGAACGGCTCTGAATTTCTAGAAACAGCACCCCGGCCGGTTGCACTTCGTTCGCAGCCAATCGTCTTGAACGCTAGACGTGTAGAAATCGCATTACCTAAAGTAAATAATTATCGCAGGTACCTATCGAACTCGCAGAGCAGTAGCTACAACACAAATGCCTATAATAATAATATATGGTTTATGTACGACTATATATATAGCTAGTATATACGCCGACGTCGCGAGGCTAATCTACTCTCGCCGCGTAAAAGCTTCACACACCGCGAAGGTCCGTAATTAGATAGTACTTACGACATTGGAAAGGGGCCGGACCCTTGTGATTTATACGAAATTGGTTTTTGTTTATTTTGTATTATATTATTATGTAATACACCGACGGACGCGGAGACCGGAGTTAATCAAAAGACGGGCACGTCGATGGACCCGGCCCCGAAACCGTTTTCCACTCGGCAAATAAGTACTCGTACGACATAAATACGTAATATGTCGCCGAGGAGAGGACGTGCCGCAGCAGTTTTACGGGTCTCGGGAGACAATCGCCGATAACAAAAGCCCGTTTGCCGGAGCTCATCGTCGGGGCGACCAAACAGCTGCAGATCGAACCTCCGATATAGAGCCACGCTGTACATATTATAATAATAATACGATGTCTATGTGTAATTGGTTGCCGGTCGGATGCGCACTTGGAGCCCCGCCCGATAAGAATGCGAGTGTCAAGGGCGCATTTCGCAGAGAGCGAGAGAGAAAAAAAAAAGGCCATCGAAAAATACCCCGGCAGCAAATCCCCCCGCGATGGGTTTTCCATTTTAATGTACCGTTAACGACGCAGCATTTTAGTCGCGCTGAGCCCGACGACATCGATAGTAAAAAAGGAAAAACAGTTATAATAAAAAATAATAATAATAATAATAAAGATTTTATTGAACGTCACTAAAATTTCAGTCGCTGGTCGTTAAAACTTTGCATGCCATTCAACCGTGGAGATGAAAACATGTCTGATAATATTAAATCATCCAAACATTTACGACTAAACGCCGTTGTCTTTAATATAAACAATGGACAAATACGATGCGCAAAATTCCAAACTATTATAATGTACTGGCTATGATTAAAGGGAGGAGGGCAGCTCGAGGCCCTAGTATGTAAAGAGCTCCAATCATCGTTAGCAGAAACATTTTATTAAGTACCTAGTAATTTATACTTATACTTTTTATAGTGAAAAATATTACTTTTTTTAATAAACAAGTGAAAAAAAATATAATACTACACATATTACATTCGTGTGAAAATACTAAATAGTAGGTACTTATAGGTTACCAGTAGTCAGTATATAGTATATACCATTTACCGTGTCGTTACCCGACTTTATTTTCATGGCTATTGTTTGTTTTTAAATAATTCAGTTGTTTAACAATACGAATAAATGTAGACCTAGGTAGTTTTTTAGTATGGTTAACATACTTTATATTTATGTCAATTTTAACTTTTTTTAAAGGTAATAGGTGATAATAATATTTATTTATTTAGCAATAGTAAAGTTTACTGTAGGTAGATTCAACATTTAACTTTTAAATGTCATTATTTTATTGAAAATTGGTTAAGAAAAATTGATTTGAAAATGATTTAGGTAGTATTAATAGAATTATATAAAAAAAATGTTATATTTTTTTCCATGTAATATTTTAAGTTACAGACAAGAATAGGTAATAACAAAATGTTCTGACGACTGACTAGGTAATAAATTATATTGTTGAAAAAAGCAACATTTTAGTACTACTTCTACTTAAACTATTCTCTTTCAGACTCACTACTCGCAACATAGATAAAACGATTTATAATAAATACTATAAGCATTTGTATTTTTTATTCTAATTGGTATTTATAATCATATAAAACCGTTTCTTATGATTTTTAATTAAATTATTGTAAAATCGCATATTATAAAAATTATTTTTTTATTTTTAGAATAATTTTGAGTTTAACATATAGTTTTCATATTTTACGATTACCTATTTAACTTTAAAATAAAAATAAATATTTAAAATGTAAATAAATTTTAAATTCTTTTGAGACAATATTTAGTCACGTCGTTATGTCATACCCTCCAAAATATTATTCCCCATATTTTTTTTTAATATGTCATTTTACTCAAAGATTACTCAAGAACATAAAAAAAAATTATTTTGTATAAATGCATGGAGGTCAAAGGGAGAAAACAGACAGTGTGCTGACATCCTCTAACAATGAGTCATGTTTACAAAGTATACGCCAATGCATCCAATATTATGATATTCGAACAGGAATAAGAACAAGTCTGTATTTTTTGTTCTATTGATCCACAACCAATTATCTGCCCTTAGACTCCCAGAGATCTTAATCCTGGTTCCATAATACATAGGTATATGCTGAAATAGGTAGTAATCATATACAAGTGTAAAAATATATCTGACAAATGAAAACAATAACTTTGTGTAGTAACTTTTGTTTAAATTTTTAATTCCATGGTAAAATTACTAATAATAATGATAATTATACAATTATTTTTTTTTAATTTCATTACAGCAAAATTCAAAATATATTACATTAGATCTTTATACTACATTCAGGACATACATTTATACATGTAAAAAATAAACAATAAACATCATATTATAAATTATATTTAACATTATAACCGATAGGTATATTAAGGAACTAGCACGGTCATTATACTCATTTATTATTAGCAGTAGCACGTTTTTGTCGACAAAAAGGTGTTCCACTTTATGATTTTAGTGCTTATATACCTACTTACCTCTCGGTTTTATTATTGTCAATATATACTAGAATCAAACGATTGCCGTTCTTAAAATATTTAAATAAAATAAACAGAAACCATCACATACTTAAATTATGGTCCAAATGTATTACAAAACAACAAAAAAATAAAAGAAATAGAAAAAGAAAAATATTATATATATGTATAATTTTTATTTATTATAAAATATAGGTACTAAATGAATTTCAACAAATTTTTTACACGTTTATCGGACGCTTCCTGGGATGGCACTCATCTTCGGCAATTCCTTTTCTTTTTTCAGTCTTGGTAGATGATTTTTGAGTGGTACCCATTTGTTCAGCGGGTGAATTGTCGGCTATACTCAGATCCGGGTAAGCTATGTTGAGCAACGAAGTTTCGATGGCTATCCGAGCTGTGAGTTTCTTATCCATCGGAAGTGTAGATAACATGGGTAAAAGACTCAATAAAAAATGTTTGTCGTCAGAAATATTTTCGTCTTGATTCGAATACTCTGATTTTATTTCGACTGAATTTTGATTGTCATACTCAATGTTAAGACAGTTCAAGGGGTTTGTTTCATCCGATAGTTCTTCTTTCAATTCCACTTCTGGATATATGTTTTGATACTGTAAATCCGTCAAGTATACTGAATTTGTGACGGTGTGTGAGATCTGATCTTTGATGAACATCATAGAATGGAAATATGGCCATCTAGACATTTCTTGATCACTTTCCATGCTAGTCATACATCTTTTGTACTCTTTACGAAAATGGTCTTTTAAGTTTTTCCATTTTCCTCGAGCAGCTTTACCTAAAATAATTACAATATTAAAATAAGCTACAGTTTATTTCTTTATAGTAAAATCAACTTGTTTATATAGATAGGTATAAATAGATAAATAATAGTAATAATAATAATAATAATAATAATAATAATGATAGTTAAATTCAAATAAACAAAACAATCAATTTAAATTAAATTAAACTATTCAATAGTTTTCATTTTTTTTTCAGCCCTAGAGAAGGTCATTAAATTGTTGTTGACTCAATAGTGAGGTATAGTATTAAACTATTAAATCACAGCTATTTAAACTTAGTAAGCATCACTAGGGAAATGTAACAATAGACAGAATGATTATATAGATGTACTTAGATGTTCGTAATATCATATTTAAGTGATTTGATTGATTTTTTATAAATGTATCTTGATGTCGTTTTTTTTTAATAAATCTGGTATAAGTACGTATACGTGCACACCTAGTACATATATGTAATTAGCCAATTAAGTTACATTATAACAAGAACAAATTTTATATTAGGTATAATTTATAACACATAGATATTCATACATTTTTTTAGTCACAAATACCGAACGTTTTACCTTTTGGAGTAGAACTACAGATACTTGTTAGCAATCACTTATCAATATTTATTAATGGTTTGTAATTATTTTAAAATTAAAATTTTTAACTATCCAGACCAAAACGACATTTGCGATTACGTCAAATAATTTGAATTTAATATACATAGCTATTAATAAAGACTTATTAAAGTTAATTATTCATTATTATTGTGAATTCGTAGCAAATTAATTTTTACTTGTTGTAATACATCATTTACTTAATACAAAGCTCAAATCATTCATACATTATATATTTTGTAGACATATAGTAAGTTACCTACCAATGTATGATTTGGTTAAGTTATTTTCCATTTTTAAATTTTGTAATTAATTATATTTTTAGCATTCCACAGTTTTTTTTTTTTTAGATTTTGTACTTATCGAGGTGTTTATAAAATACTTTGTACTTGCCATGTAAGTGTACTGAACAATAATTTATGATACAATTAAAGTCGGATAAAGTAATCAAGAATTATTTCACTTTACAATATAACATTATACAAGTAGATTTATTTGTAAATAATACTATTATAAATATTACTAATTAAATACTAGTATTTATAGATAATCAACGATAATACCAAACAAATGATTTACTGTACAAATTCATAATTTATATTTTATTCAGTGAAAAATATTTTAATTGTTGATTTAAGTTATTTTAACTAGTATTTAATATATTATCGACATATTTTAGACAAACAAGTATAATTGTTTAAAATATGAGACATATAAAATACTGCAAGAGATATATGTTTTTAAATTTAGTTTTATGTCCGAAGGCAGTTTTTCTAGTTCACAAACAATGTTCTGATCATTAACTTTGTGAGAGGTCTCTCAGCCTGTTTCTACCATGGTATAAAATTGGATCTGGTCGGTACTTTTAAGACATCAACATATAAAATGTTCAGTACTTTGTTAGTTTTATAAATGATCGAGAAAAAAAATACAAATTTTTGTTAAAATGTAATACTTTTATTAAAATGATTCTTTGGTAACTTGGGTTGCCAAAAAATTCAGACTGTTTCCGCTCAGAATCGTTTTTTACCTATACAATGATTTATCATTGAATTCTAATTACCACAAATAGGTATGCATTACAAACTGCATTGACCCATTTAGTGACGAGGTATAATCTACACCTATACTGTACACCCGAGAGGTTACGTATTAAACAGCTTTTTATTTTTATTTTAAATACATTATATAGAGTTTTATTGTGCACTCTTCAGTCTCAGCGTATCAGCACCCTAATTACATTAAATATATTTATGTTTAGATAAAACATTTTTTGACCATTCGATCCTAAGGGTTAACATAAATGAAACAGTAATACCCTATTGCTATGCTGTTTTGAACAGTCAAGTGTTATATGACGATTGGAAACTTAACATTAATATACAATAGCTATAATTATAGATGGTTAGAAGTTGGTGGTACCTACTACCTATCTCCACGCACTTCATGATTAAAGTCCTAGATATTAAAGTTGAATAGGAATATTTTTAACGGTTTTATACAAATCATTAAAGCAACGTAATATGGTGAGATTGCGAATAATAGAATACCCAATTAAAAATTTAAAGGAATAAATTCAACTTTTTTTACTCAAAAAGGAACGAGAAAACTCGGTAAAAACATGACTTGAAACTTTTATTTAAACCACATATTTTGCTTAAATTATTTGTATCATAATAATATAATAAATAATAATATTATGCTATTATAACTAAATATATTAGTTTATTCATATTATAATAAAATGGTTAAAAAGTGTATAATCATGTTTACCGAGAAACTTATCAGACGAAGTATAAATTTAATTACGCAAGTAAATTAAATAAAAAGTTTTTACGCTTAAAGGTATACAATTATTTTTACTGAAACAATTTGTATTTAAAATGGTTTAAGTACGTTTATTTATAGCTGCATATTAATACTCTATTTTTTATCAGAAAATAATGTTGAATAACTACAATATTCATAAAAATATTAATGTGCAGTATAATATACCACCCTACTATATCAGCATATAAACCTATCATACGACATTCCTTGATTGTACACATGCATACTTTTTTAACCATAGAGTGAAATCAAACTAAATAAAACATATTTTTGAAAGTATACATAATGATCCCCTACTTAATCATAGTTTGTACGATTTCAATTAGTACTGTAACCTGTAGGAGTGCAGAACTGCAGAATTTTAATTTAATTATTTTAAAAATGTATACAACAATTTTGAAGTGAAACCTTTGTATTTTTTTTAAATACGTGATACCATGTTTAGTTTATACATTTTCAACAGTTCTATGTATCTTTTAAGTTATGAGCTAAATACACACTACCTACACATTGTACCCACAATATAAAATAAAATCTCACATAGGACAGTTGATACAAACAATAATAATATATGTGCAGCGTAAACTGGTGTTTGAAGAATTTAAGTAGATACATTTATATTTTTAAATGCTATTTTCCTAAGGGAAATATCCTTTACATTGGTTTTAAACTTGAATTGAGCAAATATTATTGGTATGTGTTCGTCGTTCGAGCGTATATTATATAATAAAACAAAGGTGGGGAAGTGGGTACAGCTTTTTTGTACATTTGGTGTTGGCGTGAGTCACTCTACTCACTGTAATGGACGTATTAATTTTGAATTTAATGATACATAAAATTATTGCATATATGCGATGAATGATTTTGAGCGAAGACGGTCTGTCCGCCTATACAAACAAGTATATTTAATGATAGGTATTAAAATAATTTATTTTACTATTAGTAGGTATGTAATACAGTTGGTTGAATTAATTTTTCCTGAAAACATTGCATTTGAAAATGTCATGCATTGTGTTTATAAAATATAATGATATACTTCATAAGTTTCAACTAGTAGTAAGTACCCACAAATCATATTTTTAAATTACGACAAAATAACTATTTTTGTTATTCTTCGTTTAAATATCTAATTTTGTCCATATTTGAACTTTAAATATTAGCAACAAAAATTGTGTTTATATATTTTTAGATTTTTTGGTTAAAGTATGAACAACTTATGAGAAACCTTGTTTAACTACAAAATAATTTGAACATGTTCGTGATTTTGATAAATTGTGTCGAACCTTAAATGATTATAACAAATTACCTTTGAAACTTTAATGTCTATAAACAGCTCAAATTGAGTCAAAATATTTTGAAAATGTTACCATACCTATATAAACTAATATAAGTAATAAACAATTGATGAACATCAATTTTTTTATTTATTGCTTTAATAGCAGCTTATGAACCTAGTATTAAATGTTCAAGTCTTTTGGCTGAGTGAAATATTATTTATCGACTTTACCTAATTAAAGAAAAATAGAAAAATTTTCGTGCTTATAAAAGTATGAAAAATATTCATATAAACTAATTTTGTTGAAAACTGATTATGCGTAAAATTTCCAGTTATATCTCAATAGTTTTTATTTTGTTTTTCCTTGGAAACTACGGTGAATTTTCTACTTTAGATCCCCTAATTCAGCAATAAAATTCACTGTCCTACTAAAAAAACGCCGAAGTAGAAAATCGAAGCAATTTGGATGCCCCAAAAGGTGAAGACAGATAGAATATAAAATCAATAAACAATAAAACACATATTGTTGTAAAGTCAATACATCCATCTTTCCGATCAGAATCTAAAATAATATTTTTTTTAAAACTAATCTAACATTGATTGGTTACGTTTGAAAAAAGAAAATGGCAAAGCACCAAAAAAATTATCCAAAATCTATTGTGGTAGTAATTATTATCCTAATAATTATGACGAAAGTAAATCAAGTTTTATTCGACAAATTGCCCATGTCAACACTAGCAGTACTGTGCACTACTGCACAATAACCTATAACCATCATCCATTATGTAGAGGGTTTCCACTATACACGTTCGCTTAAATCCTTCACTGTGACTGGTTGGTTAGGTTAGGTTACCACACGATTAACCACGTTACCGTGTTGTTGGACATAGCTGAACATTTTTCGTGGACATGGTACACAAGTATAATTTATTACGCGGGGAGCTGCGGTTACCGGTATAATATTATACTCTTGGTCCGTTCACAATGTTCGAGAGGTCCACCGACCACCTCCAAAACATATTTTTATTGGTCGGAACCAGTCGGTGAAAACACCGTCGTCGTGATGAGATACCTGCACGCACAATAATATACCATAACCATACGATGGGACAGAGGGCGGGGACGAGCGGCTCGGTAAACGGCCCGAGGAAAAAAATAAAGGCTGTCGTGCGATGTGTAGGTGCAATACCAAACAACAACAACAACAACAACAACAGCAATAACACTATAACGCAAAAACGCCAGTGAAGCCGATGGGTGGTACGCGCCGGGCTGACGGGGGTGCGCGGGCCGAGGAGGAGGAACGGCGCCGCATACCCACGTGCTCTCCGGTCCCGCCACAACGGCCACTCGTCGCCGCCGCCGCGTGCCCGCGTGTAAACGCTGCCTCTTGTAAAACGCGTCGCCGCCGCCGCCGCCGCTGGCGTCTGGTTCGAGCGTCGCGGGACGAAGGACGGGGAGGGAGAATGGCCGGCGGACTAGTGGAAGGTGGGTAGGAGACGACGACGACAACACCGCCGCCGCAACACGCGGGCTTGTGGGCTGTGCGTGCGCGTGTGCGAGTGTGCGAGTCTAGAGCGATTGAAACGCGCAATATTAATGTAATCATCGCCACAGCACAGCAAAAATATCACATTATTATTATTATTATTATTCAAATCACAATGTGGAATATAACACTAGACTACTGAATTAGTGAATTACACGAATAATTATTTCGTAGTAAATTACGACACGAACGACTATATTAAGGCGAACCACAGAATCAATAATAATTTACACACACGAAACAGTGTGATATTGTTATTACAATACCTAACCTATTGAGTATGTAGGTACAATGACACGACATTAAAATTAATTATTTAAAGTTGAATTTTACCCGTGATGCCGAGCAAAGCGGCCACGGACTCCCAGTGATGGTCCAGCACGGACCTGTTGTGGTGTTGCGGGTGTTGCCGGTCCCAGACCTCGGGCCTCCGGTGCACTTCGGCTATCAGGCGGCTGACTTCCAGCGAACTCTTGCCGGACATGGTCACCTGGACACCTACGCGCTGGGGTAGTGCGAATCCTCCCGCAACACTCGTCGTTATCGAATAGGTTTGCGTTTCGTACAAGTTCTCAAAATGATGGAGACACCGACGGCACGGGTGTTCGGAACGACGCGGGCCGTGCGTGTTGTTTACGCGCGTTTCATCGGACGTTTACCCGCTCCGCCGCTACACGCGGGCGGCGGCGGCGGCGGCGGCGGCGACGACGACGACGGCCTCGCCGAAAGCCGAATCGACAAACCGGCGGCCGGCAGCCGCGATTGCGGCGGCTGTTGCAGTCGTGCCAACGTGAGCGGACACCGCCGCCTCCGCCCGACGGAATCGCTGCTCCGCTGGGTCGCACCTACTGTTGTACACGCTCGATTGCTCATTATTCGAATACCTCATCACGATTTACGAATCGGTCGGGCAGCAAAATGCGACATGCGTCCGTCAGCCGAGCAGTTCGCGACATGTCTGTCAGTCGTTTTCGACCTCGACTTAGCCTAAGTTAAGGTGTACCTAATAAAATATAACCGTATAGTAGGTGTACATATAATATTATACCTAACTGCTCGTTGCAGAGTTAGTTACGTGCACACGGAGGTCAATGGAGCGGCGGGGAGGTTTAGGGGGTTAGTTGGGGCCACTCTACTTTTTGGATATTGTTGGCCACCCCTCTCCCCCTCAAATTCAGCCAAATGTCATTCGCCTATGCCGAACAAACGATCGCTGTAAGCAAGTCCCCCACAGTCAAATTGTACCTATCTATCACGATGATAATAACAATAACAATAACAACTCGGACGTCCATACAACTCGCGAGGTCACCACGTGGTCCGTGAGACAGAAAAACCCCACGCAAGCGTTCCGGTCCGAATCCGGAGGCCGACCGCACCGGCCTAATGTAATAATATGCACAAGTGTCGCAATTATTGTGCAAGTCGTCCCATCGAAACCGCCGCAGTTGAGTATACCTATCGATCGTACATATGGTCAGTGTGGCTTAGCCGGGATTTCTAAAAAGAGGAGGGGGGCAATAAAAAACCTCATACGATTAGAAAAACTTGCACTAGTTACACCTGTGTATTACTCCATAGTGGTAATCTAAATAGTCCATCCATACACATTATAATATTATAGTCTGGACACAAATGATATAATATATTATAATATACCAGTTGTGTATGTCTTACACGTGCTGAAACAATGCATATATTATATTAATTAGTATAATCACAAGGTATCACAATAACTGTCATCGGTTCATTCGAGTCGACTTGAAACAAATTTCGGTTCAAATCCGACGAAATTTAGCTCAAATTCGTCCTACGGATCAATAAAAGGGAATACACGTCAGAGTGAATGATCAAATGAAGTGGTGCGGTTATGTTTTGAGCAGGGGGGCCCGACGTCCCGGGTTATGTCCCCCCCAGGACCGAGGTCCGAGATACGTTTATTATGCACGTTAATAATTACGTAACTACGATATTATATTATATACGTGCGGACTTGTCGTAAAATTAAGTTTTGGATTTACATTTTATAATTAGGAATTTTTTTAAGCATTAATCATGTTATTATAACACACCTTATTCGCTTTAAATTATAACCTTATTGTACTATAATATTATAATAATGATACGCAATCACATTTTTGAAAGGTCATTTCAGAAATACGTCGGTAGGCTAATCAAATTACCTAAACACCAATTCCAGATGAATAAGTAAAATTATAAATTGATAAAAAGTTCTAATATGTACAACGCTTGAAACCGTTATAAAATACAATCTTAGTAAATTATTTATATTTTTTCTACATCAAAGTTGGAGCCATTTCAATTAAATTTCAATTTACATTAGAATTACTTTTAATATTTTTCCTTATTACTTTATAAAAATCCTAATTGTTTTAATTTGTTCATTTTTGTTTAATAGTGTTAACACATACACATAGTTTAATTGTTTAATATCCATATTATAAACATAAATTGGTTATATTATACACTATAATAAATACACTAGGTATACAGTTTTTTGTCTATAATGTAAAAAAAAAACATTTAAAAGAAAATACAAAATTGACAGTTTACATTAATCTATAGCAATATCAAGTTTTTGATGGGGAAAGATAGGTAACTTCTTAGTTCTTATTATTAATTTAAAACTAAACATTTAACAAATTATGATTACATAAATTGAGTATTTTATTCATATTGAACATTATAATGTGTATTTGCTTGTGACAGTGTCGAACATCTCAACACTACATTTGATATACTCAATACTCATATTTATATAGCTTAAAATCATGAAAATGTATACTATTGTGGAAGAAAAATCTATAGACACCATTGTCATTCGTCATACGAGTACCCAACTATACAAGTTCTGTTTATTGATATCAAAATATAGAAATTCAATACTTAGTCTTTCATCAGATATTGATGTATGTTGGACAGGTGGGTACTAGTATTATATATTGTATATGGAAAGTAGTTTAATATGAAAACCTATAGATGAAAGTATAAAAAAATCATATCAATTATCAATAGGTAGTTAACAAGTTTACATAATCTGCAAAAAAACATAATATACATACTGTCAGAATGTATAATACAGTAAGTTGAAGGTACATTATAGTATAAGAACAGCCGTCTTAGCTCAAATAAGTCGTCCATTGTACCTAAATTGTTAAAACAGCAAATTTCCTAGACAATTTTAAATTATAATTATTTTTTAAAAACTACTTTACTGCTTTAAAATGTAAATTTATCCATTAATAATACCATTGATTATAGAATAGGCCAATGGTTTTCAACCAGACGGTCGCGAAAGATAGTTTGGGGGTCCACAAAAATAATGAGAAATTGGTTATTCATATCACAATATACTATTTTAATAATCAAACGAAATATTTGTTTGGTACGAAATACTGATAAACAATAACATTTCAAATAAAATATCATATAGCGTAATTATATCTGACGACGGATTATTAACTATGAGCGATTGTGGTCGATCGATTTTAATTGGATCGGCATTTAATATCTAGTTATATTTACACCCGTACCATGGACGTGTATTTCAGAAATTTGTTGAAGAATTATCAAAAACAGCTATATCAACACTTCTACCATTTGTCCCCACTTATCTGTGCAAAACAGCTTTTTCAGCCCTCGCTGTAATAAAAAATAAATATCGAACGAAATAAAAAGTGGAACCAGACTTAAGAGTAGCAGTCCTTATAATATACAACCCAATATGGAAACTATAATTTCAAAAATTCAAGCACAAGTTTCCCATTAAAACAAGAAAATTTCTAATATTGATTTTCTTTTTTCTTTTTATTTATTTAATTTGTTTTATCATTTATTTAAGTATACTATGCATTAAAAAAATATTTATGGTCTATTATTTATTATTTGAAGGGGTCGCATTAAAAAAAAAAATGGGGGGTTGCGGTTCGAAAAATGTTGAAAGCAACTGGAATATGCTATAATACAATACTGTCAAAGTGCTATATTCACTTAATTACGCACTATATTACCTAGTAGATCCCTACACTAGATTCACTATAAATATAGTCATACAACTATAGAAGTATTGTTAATCCAATAAAGTAATACAAAAAGTAAAATCATATAATAATATTAACATTTCAGAGAAATAAATTAAAATATATTAAAATATTAGGTAGGTACCTAGGTACAATATATTTATTTAATTTCCAATGTATCATATTCGATGTTCCTTTATATATAAATATATAATACATAATATATGACTTAGTAAGTACTTACGATAATAATCACTAATAACAAAGTATTAGTCTATATAGACAAACATCGTCATCGATATTATTATATGTATTCGAGTGTAATATCTTGTAAACACATCACCAGCATACTTAAATGTTAGGTACCTATATCATTTTGCAGAATATATTTTACTACAATATACAGTCTCAATACTTGATAAAAAAGTGAAAAAATTATGAAAAATTATGTTTACAATTAAAGCCAATACCGTCGCACATAGCAGACCATATTATTATATTATGTGTGTACCATACAGTTTGGTTTTAATATATAAAACTCTCGTTTCCGTACAAACAAACGAATAATAATTGAACAATGTTCACATGTGCGTGTTTTTCGTACAAAGTTGCCGAGCACAGTTTTATTATTCGTTGTTTCTAATTTATCCAAAACAACGTTTCGAACTCGTTTTATTGAAATCGACCACGAACGAAAATACTTCGCTCCGCGACAATGTTTTGAACGTTTGTGAAACATTGTTTGGATGATAGCACATTTTGTTCAAAATATTTAATAATATTGGGAATCAAACACGAATACACAATATTAGAATATTTGTTTGCGGTGAAACGGGCCTTGACATCTGTGGTACCTTTTCTATGACGTCTGACTGAGTGACTGACCGCGAGTTTGACACTAATCAAACGGCGATAACATTTTAGCATAACTCTATAGCTTATGCTGTTATTATAAATGCATCACAATAATATTAATTGCCATCGAAAATGAGGAATGCATTGTTTTATATCGTTATCGTATATTAGTAATATTAGTAATATTACATATTATAATATTATAAATTACTGTCGAAAAACACGTGGAATTGTTTTTGCTCATTATTTCAGAGTTCGAGAGCCTGCCGAAGTTACGCAACACTTTATTATATTACATCACAACATTAAAGTTGTTGGAATGGTGTTCACACAGAATAGTTTAGTACATATTCCGTATAAATGTGTAATCCTATTCCATATTTTCCTACCATTATATGTATGTGTGTTACTACTGTTACTGAAAATGATGGTGTGTTCCTCGAATACGTCATGATTATCACAGTCACGGTGCAATGGTGCATATATGCACCTATATTTTCCAGACGAATGGTGAAAATTACCCAGAAGCTTTTATGAGAGACACAATTGAGGATAACCGAGTTTGTGTAATTTGATATGTATTAAATCCTACAAGGGCTTATAATATCCTACGAAATATCATCGATTTTGGTACATGTAAGTACACGGTTGTTACCATAAAACTATAAAAGTAAAATCAAACCAATTAGAATACCATAATTTTATTATTCGAACACACAGCTCATCTTTATTATACACTGATACCAATTAAATTGCACA